AGTCTTCAGTACTATATCTGGAATGTTGTCAGGGTCCCATAGCCTTTGTAGCATCCAATTCTGCTGTTTCTTGATATCACATGGATTGAATCAAATTGGCTGAAGACTGGTATCTGTAATTCTGGGGACCACTGGAGGAGGCTGAGATGGATCATCCACTCGGCACTTCTGGCTGAAGATTGCTGCGAAAGCTTCAGCCTTATCTGTTGCACTGCTGTGCAGACTCTTCCAGCATTCAGGATGGGGATATTTGTGGAGCCTCCTCCAGCGAGTTGTTTAATCGTCCACTGCCATTCACGACTGGATGTGGCAGGAGTGCAGAGCTTAGATCTGATCTGTTGGTTGTGGGATTACTTAGCTCTGTCTATCACTTGCTGCTTTCGCTGTTTGGTGGCTTCACCGGGTTGATACCTCATCTTCAGGTATGCCTGGTGCTGCTCCTGGCATGACCTCCTGCACACTCTATTGAGCCAGGGTTGATCCCTTGGCTTGACGGTAATGGTTGAGTGGGGGAGATGCCAGGCCATGAGGTTACAGATTGTGCTGGAGTACAATTCTGCTGCTATTGATGGACCACAGCACCTCATGGATGCCCAGTCTTGAGCTGTTAGATCTGTTCAAAGTCTGTCCCATCTAGCACACTAATAGTGCCACAGAACATGATGGAGGTTATTTTCAACATGAAGGCATAGTCTCCACAAGGACTGCACAGTTGTTGCTCTTACCAATACTGGCTTGGAGAGATGTATTTGTCATTTCGACAAACATAACCTGCAACATTTGACACTGTCAGCTTTCAGTAATGAATACCCACAATTCATCCTTTCCAGGGCACCATTGCATTTCTGGAAATTCCCTGCATCACCTTCTGAGAAGACAGAAGCTTTTAAATTGATCTGCCAATGTCTCATTCTCCAGTTAATCAATTCTCCCATTTCACACTGAAAGGGATGTGTATTTGTTTGTGCCATCTTTTTTCACATACTTACGGAAGCCTCTCAGCTTACCAATTATGTTCAAGTTTATTCAGATACTCTACTTTCCCCCCTATCAATCAATCTCTTGGTCCATCTTTGTTGAAGTTTAAATGCTATCAGTCCTCAGGCTTGCTACTTTTTTCTAGCAGCTTTAGGACTACTTTTTGGATCTACTACTGACATTGCATGTGAGGAGTCTGAAAAGTGGAGTTTGGGAGTCAGATATTCAGGATACAATGTTTATTAAATAGATAAGGGGTTAAACACACACCACTCCCTCTATCTACAGGATATGCCAAAGATTCCTAGATGACATCTTCCAAACACAAAACACCTTCCATCTAGAATAATGGCAGAGAATACGTGGGAACACCACCAATTGCAAGCTCCCCTCCAAGCCACTCACCCTCCTGACTTAGAAATACATCACTGTTCCTTCACTGTCACAGGGTAAAATTTCTGGAACTTAATGCCTAATGGCATTCTGGATCTACAGGACATTGTCTGCAGCTGTTCAAGGAGGCAGTTCACGACCATCTTCTCAAAGGTCACCGAGCGTCAGAACACAGACATCGACGATGGATCCAACCTGTCCATCCCGTTCTTAATTTAGTCCCATTTGCCAGCATTTGGCCCATGTCCCTCAAAACCCTTCCTACTCACGTACACAGCCAGATGCCTTTAAATGTTGTAATTGTACCAGCCTCCACCACCTTCTCTGGCAGCTCATTTCATATGTGCACCACCCTCTGTGTGAAAAAGTTGCCCCTTTCCCCTCTCCCTTTAAAGCTATGTATTCCAGTTTCAGAATCCCCTACCCTGGGGAAAAAGACTTCAACTATTCACTCTACCCATGCCCCTCATGATTTTATTAACCTCGATAAGGTCACCCCTCAGCTTCTGATGCTTCAGGGAAAACAGCCCCAACCTATTCAGCGTCTCCCTATAGTTCAAACCCTTCAACCCTGGCAACATCCTTGTAAATCTTTTCTGGACCTTTTCAAGTTTTAACAACATCTTTCCTACAGCAAGGAGACCAGAATTGCACATAGCATTTCAAAAGTGGCCTAACCAACATCCTGTACAGCTGCAACATTAATTCCCAACTCCTATACTCAATGCACTGACCAAAAAAGCAAGCATACCAAACACCTTCTTCACCACCCTGTCTACCTGTGACTCCACTGTCAAGGAACTATGAACCTGCACCCCAAGTTCTCTTTGTTCAGCAACACTCCCAAGGACCTTACTGTTAAGTGTATAAGTTCTGCCCTGATTTTCCTTACCAAAATGAAACACTTCACATTTATCAAAATTAAACTCCATCTGCCACTCCTCGGCCCATTTGATTAAGGCCGTTGCACTCAGGTAACGTTCTTCACTGTCCACTACACCACCAATTTTGACGTCGTCTGCAAACTTACTAACCATACTCCTCCTTCAGCACAAATTCTTGTAGCATACTGCTGATCACAGGCCTCCAGTTAAAACAAAAAATCCTCCATCACCATCCTCTCTCCTTTGTTAAAGCCAATTCTGTATCCTAATGGCAGGCTCTCTGTATATTCCACGGTGTCTAACCAGTCTATCATGCCAAACACCATATATTGTCTATATGAACTTCACCATATGGACTATGTCCATTGCTGCCTTCAATCTTCTTTGTCACTTCTTCAAAATACTCAAACAAGAGAGACAACTTCCCATGCACAAAGCCATGTTAACTGTTCCTACATCGTCCTTGCCTTTCCAAATCCTGCCCCTCAAAATCCCCTCCAACAACTTACCCACCACTGACATCAGGCTCACTAGTCTATAGTTGCCTAGCTGTTCCTTACCACTTTTAAATAATGGCACCACATATGCCAACTTTCAGTCTGCCAGCACCTCACCCATGGCTATCAATGATACAATAATCTCAGCAACAGACCCAACAATCACTTCCCTAGCTTCCGACAAAGTTCTCCAGTACACTTGATCAGTTCCCAGAGATTTATCCACCATTATACATTTTAAGACATCCAGCATCTCCTCCTCTGGAATATGGACACTTTCAAGATATCACTATTTCTCCAAGTTTTCTAGCTTTCATATCCTTCTCAGTAAAAACTGAGAAAAACAATCATTTAATTGCAGTTCCACAGACAGCCTTGTTATCTCTAAGAGACTCCATTCTCTCTCTCTAGTTACTCTTTTATCCCTAAAGCATTTGTGGAATCTTTTTAGGTTCTCCTTAACCCCATTTGCCAAAGCTATCACATGTCCCCTTTTTGCCCTCCTGAGTATACTTCTATTGCCCTTATACTCCTCTAGGGATTTACTCAATCCCAACTGTCTGTACCTGACATGTCCCCCTCCCTTTTTCTTAACAAGAGCCTCAAGTTCCCTTGAGACAGGCAATAAATGCTGGCCAGTCAGCAACATCTACATCCACAAGAGAATGCACAAAAATCTAAATTCACCAACATACATAAGCTTTGTAAAAGGTGCAGCTGGAACAATAATATAAAGAGAGATATTGATATGGTGAAGCAAAGAAGCCAGCTCAATGCAAACAAACGTAACCAAATAAGGAGATCTGTTTTGGACTCAAAAGGACAGACAGCTTTCTAAATGGTGAAAAGCTAACGACGTTGGGTATGGAGAGAGACTTATGGCTCCACATAGATCATTACAATGGTATGAACTGGTCCAGAAAAATCAAAAGAAGTAAAGCTATTTATATTCAGGAGAGTAGAATACAAAAGGGCTAGAAGCCAAACACTGACTACATAAAGCCCTCATTATCCAATGTCCAGTACTGAAAGCAGTTCTGGTCACTGCACCTTGGAAAAGAGTGCAGACCTACCAGATTGAAACCTACTATGTATGTCAGAGGATTTAAATTATCATGTTGCACAAAGATAAAGTGTACTGACCAAGACTAAGTGGTTAAGCTGTTAACTGGGGGAATCAGGTCAACCTCTGGTTAGGGAGTCAAGGATGGGGGCATGGCTTAAACATTAAACCTGATGTTTGAGTGAACGTAGATAAGCAGTGCAGTGGAAGACCATTTCTGATTCTAAACCAGAGGTCTGGATTTGGACTTAAGAGCCTAACTGTTCATGATTTATATGCTATCACTCCTGACAGCCAAGGAAGGGGATGTTTGTAATGTGGCCAAACAAGTGGAGTACAGTTCCAACCTGTAAACCTTTCCAATGCATGCCATTCTGGGGTAGTTTCGTGATGAAGAAAATTGGAGCCTTTACCATTGATCATAGCTTCATGCTACACTGAACATCAAGTTTAGACTCCAAGGGAATTATTATTATTTGGGTAGAAATAATGTGTATAGGTATGAAGGGGCAGGGAATAAGAAATTGGCAATATATAATGATGTTCATTTGAAGAACCGACAGAAACATAATGGGCTGAACGGTCTCCTGTTGCACCACAACATTTGTGATTCTGTAACAACAGCACTACACAAAGGTGTGAAAGCTTGAAGACTCCTATAAACAATTCAATGCCAATTTTCCAAATGCAGAGACTGATAAAGAACTTTGTTAACTGAAGGTATTAAAAGCATACAGGGTAAAGTCATATGTGGAATTTGATCAGCCAGCTCCCAAATTCAAGGAGTACAAAAGCCAGTAATTTATGATAAATTTGTGTAAAACATTAAGCTGGTGTAGTGTGCTCGACTCTGGGCATCAGATTTTAGAAAGGCTATGGAAGATAACAGGTTCTCTTTTGTCTATGCTACAAGTAACATCCTCAAAAACCTTCCCACTGGTCTGTCAAACATCATTTCTCTTTCATAAATCTATGTTGCTTCTGCCCAACTTTTGACATATCAAAATCTTTATATCCTCAATAATAATTGTAACATTTTCCTTATTACAAACATCAAGTCAACAGGTCTTAAGTTTGTTCCCTTCCCCTTGTTAGTGAGATTACAGCTCCTGTTTTAAGATAGGACACTGCCTTGCAAAATGAACCTAGGTTTCTTTTTCACAAAAAAACACACCCGACCAAGCATTTTGTGAAAAATCTTTATTGAACACATGCTTTACAAAAAGGTGCCTCAAATGTCTGTGATGAGGGGGTATAGCCCTCAGTGAAAACTTTCCAATCTAGAGATGACACCAAAGTCACCAAGAAAAACATGTTCCAGCTACACTGTATTCCAATAGATGTACAGAAGTGTTAGCTACACACAAGTTTACAAGGAAATTAAGATTCTCTTTAAATCAAGTAGCCAAAACGAGGGCTGGGGAGCAGAAAGGAGTGTTGGGGCAACAGGAAAAAAACCCTTCACAGTAAATGGCCATTCTAAGATGGCTGAAGGTATTTTCTTTAGCAGGGACCTACTCATCTACAGCATATGGCCATAGAAGTGAGCAGTGGTAGGTGCACCACTGTCACCATCAGCCTCGCACAAGCCAGACAGATATACGCAGTGTCAAGAGAGCAGTGCCTCTCAACTAGCTGAACAAGAGGGAGAGAGAATTTTTAGACCTCCTGCTAAGCTTATCTTGACTGGCTGTGAAAGAGTTTATATTTCTTCATGCTTCTCTGAATCAAGCTACTTGAAAAGTCAACTTACTAACGACCCAACGTCAGCCAACGTTGCTTGCTTACTTCTTTCTCAGACCTGATGCCATCCTCAAAATGATCTAAAGTACAAGTCATTTAACCTCAAGAAGCCAGCATTACATTCTTACCCATTTCACAAAGCTCCTGAATAAAGGTTTGTTGCAATATGTTTTTACAACAAACACCAACATTCTGACTGCACGAAAATAATGGATAATATTGTAACATTTCATGAACAGGTAGAGGAAGAAGCACATGCCTCAAGATCTCTTAGTTACCAAACGGGGGTGTTCCAAACCAGCATGTTTTCTTGTGCAGTTATTGAGCTGAGCTAGTTCCTCACATCGGTGTAAGAATTCAACATGACAATGCCAGAGCAAAGCCAACAGCTACTAGACATTTAAAGGACATGGCCCATATTCTGTAGCTACAGGATCACTCTTGTCCAAGTCATTTCACCTTTATAGGCAAAATCATGAATACCTCGGCTTCCAGTTTCTTTTTGAAGTGTCTGCCTCTGCTCAGTAGCTTTACAGTGGTGCAGATTAGTCTTGGATGAAGTGCATAGCCATAGCACATCAAGATCCTAATGAGTTATTGAAGTACCTTCTCCATCACTTCTTGCAGAAGATTTCAGTTTGTGGACATTTCATTGAAGCCCAATCCGCCTCTGTCCTTCTGGGCTGTCAGAATTTCACTAACAGTGAAATAACTTCGAGAATTAATTTGGTGATAAAATTACACGCAAATTGACTCAGTTTTTACAAATATTGAATTACCTTCAAAAAGCATCAGTACCATTGACCACCTGACAAGTTGACATCTTTAGGCATGGTCCATTGTATGGAAGCCAGTTCATGTTGGTGGAACACACAGAACCGGGAAGGGGGGGACCAGGGAGACAGAACGCACAAGGTGGATGCAGAGGTTACAGCAATTGGTGCATCTGAAATAAGATCATATTCCCAACTCTCAGTCAAACCTAAACTGTAGCCCACCTTCCAACACTAAACACAGCCACCAATGTTCAAGCTCCAAAACAGCCCAGGAGAAATACAAGCTTGTATACTGCACTAATGTCTCCCCTTCTCTAGCTTTTTAAAATAAATTTAATCCCAATGAGCAAATTATGTGAACTGAAATTGTTTTCATTAATCAAACGCCAGGAAAAAGATCATGTATTCTTGTTTCAAGACTGTCCATTCTAGTGTTCAAAATTTTAGGCATTTAATTCAGTATAGCACAACATTTGAACAAAAGAACATCATCTCCTCTCCATCCCCTGAAAGGTTACGTACAGTTCATTTTCTTAATAACCCAAGAACAGGTATTAAAATCAGATCAATTTATTAGGATTAAACTTTTTTTTATCTCCTCCAATTAGTCTCATGCTTGGGAGCCTACATGTACAATTAATTCAAATTCTGAAAGTTACTTTTGGGCAGAGGATTTAAGACTAGATTAAAGTGGCACAAAAATCCATATTAGAATTCCTATCCTCTGTGCAGTTTGAAGATCAAAGGCACAGGAAATACACAGCCACCATGTCCCAGGGCATGGTCTCAACCATGCTAAATTAGCTCATGTTCAAGCACCAGCATCACCCAATGATTTGCATTGGAAAGTGGACATCATGTGAGAACTTCACAAGAATGGAAATGGTACTAGGACGCGTAAAGCTGTATCAGGAAGAATTGACATTTTGAAGAGAAAGGAAGAAGAATAGGAAGGACTGGGAGCCAAACACAAAGCGAATTTTTAGCCATCAGAAATACAGACAAATGCTAACTGCTGGACTGCCAGAAGTGACTAAGTTTGAAATATATATAAGCCACCAATCCAGAGATGACTTCCCTGGCTTTCAAGTTACCTGATCTGGTGTTGAGACAGACAATCCATTTTACAACAACTCGAATCACCAACAGTCCGAGAAACATCAAATCAACATTGTTAGCACTGCAAATTCAGGCCCATATGATTGGCAGTTACGTTGTAAGCTGGCTTCCTACTTGGTACCTGCAATAAAAACTAGACAGCCACATTTTTCGTCGATCTTGTCCAACTTCGTGCAATCAGGTTGCTGGAGTGAAGAAACAGAGGAACTTTACGTGGAATTCCATTAGGGAGGGCAGTCTTAGCTCAACATGTGCACTTCCTACCACAAATACACAAAATATTGTTGCAATAAACCACAGAAGTTGTCTTTACAAAGCATTGCCAATGCTGAATGAAATGTTTGTATCTGCACTGACGCAGCAGCACCAGATCAGCATGGCACAAGCACCTGATCCAGAACTACAGGGGACTGAATAAAAGAGAGTTTGTCATAATGGGCTAATTACTTCTCTTTATTTTACTTCATATAAAGAAGCTAATTAGCTTAACAGTTAATATAGTCAATTATCTCAGTTCCAACTATATCTCTCATGGACAAATATTTTGAAGGACTCTTCGGCCCTTTTCATAATCATCTTCATCTACATTGACAAGCAGTTGGATCGCTTCTTGCCCCACAGCTTGCTTCAGTGAATCAGTTATAAATACACCTTTCAGAGCCTCCAGCAGTGAACCATTGATGTAGTCATTCCAGAAGGCATCCAGGTAAGAGAGCTCAGAGAACTTAATGTCACAGATGATGGATCCCAAGTCCCGGCTTTTCAAGATGGTATTCGCCTGCCCAAAGAGGTCAAAACAACGGTCCAGCGGGTCCTGTTTCACAGACACTACGTTCCCTCGGAGCACAGTATTCTGATCAGAATATACAGCTCGCACTCGTAGTCTTATGTCTGCATTAGGAAAGAAAACATCAGATGTTCTGTATTAGTTGTCCAATTGCAGATACTTCACTTTTAGCGACTGTTAACAGATGTGCTGAATGATCCAATTATCAGGAACACTTTGCTGGCAGAAACCAAATTGCTGAAAGCAAAGGGGAAGTTCTGCAATAGGCAGAAAATAAAGTTTCTAAACAGGGCAAAACTGAATGATCATTTTGAACATTTTGGGGTGGCAATATCACATTCCACTTGGGCCTTTAAATACTGGACACATTGTTCCTGGTAAATGCATCCATTCAACTGTGGCTCACAAAAAGGTGACACCTCTCTTGCGCCCCCAGTATCCCCAATCCCAAGAAAATCAGTGTCATGCAATGAGCAAAGCCTGTCATTTACACTAATGCCCTTTCACTGCCTACAAACCTGCAGCGAAGCACCAAGACAAGGTTCCAGCCCATGTGGTAGGACTGACCCATTTCGAAGGTAAATGGAGTTTCACACAAACAGGAATAAGCCTCCTTTGCTTCAAAGAGACCACCTCAGAAGTTAACAGGGTGCACATGGACTCTGATGTTTTATAATAAAGAATGATACTAAAACTTCAGCAGTTGAATGTTCACTTTGGCCTAAGGTACTTGATGTTGGTTTATAGGGAAGCACACCTAATGGTAACCTCATCATGACCGTTAACATGGACAAACCAGTATATTTACAAACTAAACAGTCAAAGGGTTGCTACTGACATGTGTCACCTCACTTGACTTTTAACAAACAGTTGCTTTGGGTTACAAACCAGGAACATAGGCTTTGGGTCAGTCCCTTGCTGCTTATGATTGAAGAAGCCATGACTTGCATTTACAGATATGTACCAGTTGATGGCACAAACATCCCACAGGAATTGTTAACGGCAGGCAGGGGAGACAAAAACAGAAGAAAAAAGGAAGAACTGAGAGGTTGAAAGACAGAAAATGCAACAGAATCAGCACCTGAGTAAGAAAACTTAAAGAGAGGAATTCAGTTTCTCCTGGTATTCAACTACCTCAAAAAAAAATCTTATTCCTTGAGAGATTGCTTTTCGTTTGGATATAGTTATGCAATACGGAAAGGTCGCTCCCTTGAGTTTTAATCACACAGGAAAATGTTGTTAATGAAACACTGCTGCAGGGATACCTAAAAGTTTAAGAACAAATTGGAGAAGCAACTTCCTTTGCACTGCATTAAATGTATGTTCTAAGGACTGGAAGACTAAGTCACATTTTGACATAGATGTCATACTGATTCACAGTTAAACCTCTCACGCAATAACGACCACACCATCAAAAAAAAAATCAAATTGCTGAACACATCTTAGAAATTTGACAAAGAGGACAAGTTTGAACATTAGAAGCCACAAATACGCCTCCACACTCCTTTGAGTGGAAGATTTTAAAACGGCACACGTTGGTCAAACTCACTGTAAATGCAAGTCAACAGCTGGGATCTACAGTCAGTACTTCAATGGCCTGACTTGGAATGGGCATTATTTATATGAATAGCAAATGGAAAGATCCAACATTTGGGTCAGATACTTTCACAAAATTGGAGTGTCTAGTTTGGCTGGACCGCCATTATTTTCCAGTTTAACATAAGGAAACATGACCCAAGCTCCAACATCAAGAGCACATTAATGCTCAGAATGGTTTTGGGTTTAAAACTATGCAAGAGAGCTTTAAAACCAGCTTTCTGGACACTATACAATTTTGTTCAAATTAAAGTATTCTCTAATGCTGGATCAATCCCAATGAGTTTCCTTCCACAGGTTTAGGGAGGAATCACATGAAACATGGAACAGGTCCTTTCACTTTCTATGCAAGATTGAGTGAACCAAAAATTGTTCTACTTCACACCAGATCCACCCAAAGACTGCAGCATAGTCTCTACGAAATAGTCATAAATTTTGGGATGAAGAATAGAGGGAGGAGCATAGAATTTAGTGGATGAGGGAAAATGCACCTTTATTGTGGATTTAGAGCTCATGAAGTACCCTCTTAAATATCTCTAAAATATGCAACTTTTTAAAAACAGAAGTCACCATCATTTGTGCCAGATTTTTTAAAAACAGAAAAACATTCTTTCCTCTGTTTGAGCCCAGAGCATTACTGCTTGTTGTTGCTAACTACACCTGAAATCACAGCCAAATGTTGGGTAGAGTTTGTTGCTGCGCTCAGTGCCAAAATTTTGATCCCCAGTTGTAATCCCGTTTCTCTCACTCTTTCTTTTTATCAGTGAAGAACAGGACGAGCAAGTTGGTTAATACCATCTAGTGAAGAAATGCAGGTGATTGAAGGATTTTACATACGCTGAACACCATCATGAATTTTCTTTACATCACTTTCCCTCATGGATGGACACCTGTGGAAGCAGCAACTTGTACAAACAAATCTCCGTACCCCCCCCCCACCCCATAAAGGAGAAAGCGGATTCAGCACAGTGACATTTACCAAATGACAAAATTCACCATTGACAAGTTGGGTAACAAATCAACAAAATAGGAGTGGTCTTCATTATACAGCAGATTCAGTTTGACATTTTGACTAACAGTATCTGGTAATATGAATGGGAATTTCAGCACCCAGCTCTTGGGGGTACATGACTGCCCTTATAAAGCATTTGTAACAAGTCGGTGGTTGCAAATCATACGAATTTCCACTCATCAGCAAGAGCCGGAATTACAATAGAACCCTTTAAATACAGTCTTCCTTGGGCTGGTCAAGCACTTCAGCACCAAAGCTTTTTTTTGGGGGCAGGGGAGCAATTTTACATGAAATATAATGTGTAATGGCCCATTTTTAAAGAATCGTCGCTCTTCAAAATAAAATGCGAGCAGTTGATGCAAAATAATACTCAAAGGCTAACACCAATAGCTGACCCCACATAGACCAGCCAAGGGAATGGCAGGAGAAGGGGAATCAAAATAGTTATCATCCTGAAAATAAACTTAAATGGATTGGAGCCATGCTGAAAAAACAGGTTTTTAAAAGAGTGGAATCTCTAAACAAGGAACACATTGGTCAGTGGAAGTCTCACACTAATGTCATCACATAATGAACAAAACTTTAGCAAGGATTATCAGAGATTCCCCAGTCGACATGTTAGCATTACATTTTAGGTTTTGCTTTAGTGGAGGTGGTTATGCTAGCTTTCAGTGACTGATAAGTTAATTGCTAAAAAAGGAATTATGACCTTTACAGACATCCATACGCAGATATAAAAGTCAGAGATTCCACTCGGTCCTCAACTTTGCCAGTAGGGTAGGAACACAAGTACCTGAGCTCTCTGTATAAATTGAAATCATAGAGTTTCTATTTTAGTAAAGAGCAGGGGGCACGTGCACTAAAAGCAGCAAAAGGCCTGCCTGTTTTACAATAAAACATCCCTGGCTGGTGCATGTATAATTCTGTTTCTGCAATTTTGTTTGGGAGGGGACTGGGGGGAGAAAAAGAGAAAAAAGTCACACTACTTTTGGGAAAAATTTGAAATTAATTTCAGTCTCAATAAAGTTCAAAGATCACCAACAAAAACTTAGGTACTGCACTTTATGTGCAAATTCAACACCAAGTTAAGAGTAGGAAAATGAGAGACAGATGCCATAAAGCAAGGCTGGACCACACTGGGCTAGTTTTACAGCACACCACTGGTGCTGGGCTTTGCTGCAGTTCCATGTCTTGGAATCTCACACAGTGAGATAGATAACAGAGAAAGCATCTGTTCAACATATTGTTCTGGAGCATTAACTCTTTTTAGCTTAATTCCCAGTAAGGCCATAATACTTGAGAATAGCAACTACATCATATACCTCAGCTTCCAGGGAATGATAATCCAAAGTTTGAGGTCCTTTCCAGCTAATACCCAGAAATTTGATCCTTGCAACACAGGCATACTTTGGACTGCACGCATTAAATAAAACCCCAGTGAATTATATAACAGCAAATCAAGTGTCATTTCTTTACAAATTCAAGCCTTGCTTTTTGATCTCAGGACAGTTGGAGCTGGAACAAACAGAATGAGTCGGATACTTCTGGATTTGAACTTACACCCACTGAATTACCACTAGGAAGCAGGTACGTCTGGACAGGAAAGCCTCATCTGATTATTATTTAATCCAACATTTTCCAAAGTACTTGCATAATCCCGAGCGTACAGCAGTAAAGTTGTACAGCATTAATTGGCTGCAACTCTTTATCCTGTGACAAGGTTGTTCTCCCTATTGGATAGGAACCATGTGATCACGGAACAGCACCCAGCAGATGTATCCTTGACAAACACATTTCGAGACGGGTATGCCAGTTGAATTCACTGACAAACACACTGTTCAGCATTTTCCAACCTTTGGTTATTGTGGGGATAAACAATACCCCCAATCCAGCTCTGAATCTCAAGCTTCATTGAGAGATGATGTGCACCTGAGTCCAAAAGACAACGTAGATACAGGAGAGTAGATTGCTTTGAGAATGTAACTCCTATGTAAGTTGATTTCCTTGAGGCTGAGGGAACCCCCGTTTGTTTTAATTCCTGCGTTTTGCTGGTTGACAATTAGTCCACCAGCTCTTTCTTTGCGTCTACTTTATCATCTCGTTGCAGAGTGTTAACTGTGAACTGAGAGAGACAGGTTTTGACTTTTAAAAATATTTCTGCCACTTGATAAATGCTTCATCAACAGAACAGTTACGCATACACAGCTCAGACTATACAATTGGCAACACAACACAGGCAGACCTCACCTTCACGATACATTCCCAGACTAGACCAACAGCAAACAGTGGCAGGGACACCAGTTACTGTACCTCCAGAACACATGTGCTGCATTTTGGAGATAACAATGACCACTTCACAACTGACAGGCTACTGTTGCTTTGGGTGTGACTGACCACAGTGTTTAAAAAAGTTCCCTCCTCAGTCACCTTTCAACCACCATCATCCAGCTTTTAACTGAAGTGTGGGAGAACAAGTGACAAGCACCGTAACCAGTGCTTAGTTCAAGGGAATGATATGTTATATTTCATCATATGAGGTGGCATGGATGGGAAATGGGAGTCAATATGAACAATGATCAAGTGAGTCAAGGAGTGGGCAAGATTTCACTTTCCAGGCAACAAACAGATTTAAATCCTAATAGACCAACTGGTTCAGTACAACATATTGCAATCAGAAATGTGGATATCACCAGTGCCAGTACTACTAATAACGCTGTAAAGAGCAATTAGTGCTCAAGCTATTATTACAGATACAGTGTTGACAAGGAGTTGGTACGTTTCTCATATAGATTCTGTATGCTTAGTGGTTGTATGGATTTTGCCCTGGAATTAGTTACCCTCCCAACAAAAAGCCAAGCATAATTTAGAGTACAGTTGAGTTAGAAGTCTGATACAGTGCAACAAATCAAATCAGCCATTTCAGGTATTGATTAAAAATGAGGAGCTCAGGATTATTTTCCAACAGGTTGTTTTCCCCCAACTGCCCACCACAAAGATTTAAATACGACTGGACAAAGTCTGAGAATTGAACACAAGCACAAGAGTCTCAAGTCAATTATGTCCATTTCAGAGAGCATCTCAAAAGCGTCACGACTGCCACAAACCAACTTCATTTAATTTTTCCAAATTTTAGTGATTTGGTTTGATCATTAATCGTATGTAGATTCCTAGAACATGGCAGCTCTTTGGGAGTTAATCCTTTTTATGTTTCTTTTAATACGTTTGACAGAACTAGAGTGCTGTAACAGTAGAAAATGGGTGAAGCCCATGCTTCCACAATGGATAGACAATTAGACATTTGCCAACTTGCTTTAAGGGACAGGTAGTGGTGGATAGACTCCTGGCAGACTCAGGAATTTCAGTTTGCTTCAGTATCCATCTGGCTAGTCAATCCACCAGAAATGCAAAGTCAGAGTCACTTGTCTGTTTATTGGAAGCATCAGCAGCTTCACACCAACCTTTCCCCACCCTGGAGGACCTGCCACCAACATATTTGGGGGAGTTGTGAGAGTTATTGAGATGCTCACTTGTTAACTACCTGGGACTTATATAATGGGAGCTAATAAAACAACCAGGAAACCAAAGGTCCCTCCATATCATTAAGCAGCAAAATCTGAGGGACTGAAGCTTTCTGTTGAGACTTCTTTAGAGATTCAGGATCTTTTACATCATCTTGATTTGTTATGACAAGATTTAGTACAACAGATTCAGATAGTTGTCAATTCCAATAGTTCCTTTCTTTAGTTTGAAGTAATTCTGGCATTTCAAGGAGACAGAGGACACCGTTTACAATTTGCTTTTAATGAGAGCAGGACATTGTTCCATCTACAGGGATTAGCCTGTATGCCTTCTTCGATATTTTGGCCACCAAGTATTTTAGTCTAGCAAGTGTTTGTTCCCCCTCAACAAGTTTAAAGGTTTACCTTTTTCTATTCTCGTGTCAGAACATTTCCTTAAAGTTGAACCTTTGTCAGAGACACAGACTCTCTTTTATCACCAACCTTTGAATGGTACACCTGCAATTAAATGTTTGATCACAAAAATCCTCAAAAAAAAACAGATCTCACGACAAAAGCTGAAGTGTTGTTCAAGTATAAAACAAGTTACACTACTTTTCAAAGCACGTACAGCTAGATTGTACTATTATTATATTATAGCAAAACAAGAATCCTCGGAGTGCTTTTAAAGAATTAAGGTTTTTTTTGCGATTAATATTTGAAGAAAATCACATACTGCTTGTTGTTGTTGATGCTGCGCTCGGACCTACCAGGAGCTTGTGTTGCCACATCATGAAGGAAGTTGTTGTACAAGAGAGCCAACCTATGTTTTTTTGAAAGAGCGTGTGCATAGAGAGACTCTTCTTTAGAACAGATATCTTGCGGATCGCTCAGAGGGTAGGATTGCTGTCACGTAGGCAACATGGACACAAACAGGATCAACACATTTCACCAGACTTTTTCAAAGCAACGTTCGTTCCACAAAATTCCTCACATTTATTTAACACAAGTGTGAAAATGCAAGTAAATCAACTCCAAGGGCGGGCTCCACCACCAAGTAGATATGCAAATTGTTAGGGTGCCTTACTGTAGTGTTACAATGCTCAATTCACAAAGAGTGACAGAGTACAGTAACACTCCAGTTAAACTCAAGATCAATATACTGCAACAATCCAAGTTCATGCAGGAACATGACATGCTGAAACTCTTTGGACTGTCTCAATTATTACAAAATGCTCACAGACTGGTGAAAGTTGCTAGTTTGAATAGGTAATGGAAACTTTCAAGGGCAAGCCTGGTTTACACTGCCTTGTAGGTTAAAGGAACTGTCAGCTTTAAAAGTTTTCATGACTATTATAAATTCTGTAGTTGAGAATGCACACCACACTCATTCCGGTCCCTAAATTACACTTTTGAGTAAGAAATGACAAGGCAAACAGGAGCTGGGATATATGGACCAGCCACTTTAGTGTCACTTCGAAAAACGCAATGATCAGAGCTGTCATTATAGTTATGAAGGATTAAATTTTTAGCACATGCAGGATCAGAATGCAAGACAATGTTATTCAGGAGATTCAACCCTCAGCTCAGGATCCGCATCTTCCAAAATTCTGTTGAGCATCCCTTGACAGAGTCTCACAAAACTGCTGGCCTTTAAGACATCTGTCTGGAAATGTTCCTGGACCACAAGCTGAACAAGAAATGGAAAATTTCTACTGCTCAGTAGACTCTGAATGAGGGAAATCATTTAATCTGATGTTGTACGAAATCCATAAAGACATTGCACTTGAACAGCACCTTCCCCACCTCTCTAATGTAGACCAGGGACTGGAGCCATACCTCTTTCTCTGCCTTGCTCAGTTCTACATTGGGGCTATACGGAAGCACTTACCCACCAAGGGTCGTCACTGACACTTCCAAAGTTTCTTGGCATGCTGTTTGCTTGTGGCTGAACTTTGAACAGAGCAAGGAATCATGCACCTACCCAAATCAGTGTCAAGATATAGGTTAGCTAGATGTCGGTCACATGTGCAAACAACTGAAGGCAAATACTCAAAACACTGCATACTTATTTAAGCAGCATTGAACCACGAGGATTAGTATGTATCATTCATACAATAACAGAAGACCAGTCTGTGAGCATTTGAGTATGATCGTGACTGTTGAGTTACCCAGAGGCATGCTGAGACAGTTCAGTTTGACATGTTTTTTTCGTGTGCAGATTTTAATGTTGCAGTTGTTTACAGATTGCAATCTCATACTGTGGTGCTAGAAGCGGACTGAGGAACGTTATGGACTGTCTAGGAAAAAAACAAACTTCCGGAATCTTTCATGTCAGAGACCATGCAAAGTACTGACTTTGAACTACAGCAGCCCACAGTTCCAAAGAAAAAGGTAATGGTTTTTAAAGAGAAGGCAGTTAAGGTAAACTTACTTCAGATCAGTCCCACACATTGTTTAAAAATTCTTACAAGTACAGAATGCCATTCCCATCCCCAACCCACCAAAAACCCACAATTTTAATCTTGATTAGAAGTGATAATGGGATTTGACACAGCTGTGGAAAGCTCGACTGACAGCAGTGAGGTCTTAAAGACTGTAAAACACACTCACTGCATTGTCACTCCTCACTGACCCACATGAATATTCAACCCCCAGTTGCACACAATGCCAATAAAAAAGAATTCCACATTTGAGCAATTCAAACTTTACAACACACCTCAAACATTAAACATCCCCCGAAGTACACTGACGTTTCTTCTACAAAACACCATCCCATCCCTCCTTGATATAAAATAAGACAGATTTGCAGATGTTTATTTGGCTGGAGTGACTAGGCTACTTAAATAATACTTGGAACACCACTGGCCGCAGCCTGTTTCCATCTGAAATGATTCTACATTCACCAGTTCTGTTGGAGTGGGCAGGGGCTGGAAATGGGAACAGGAAGTAATCTTTTCTAATTACTTGGTTTATTCATTTGGTTGACAAGTTCTCAATACCAGGACATGCCTTTGCTGATGTTATTTCTTTGCTTGTCCTGTTTATTATACCCACTAATCACTAGGTACTTTCTATTCCCATATTTCAATTGCACAGTAACTGCATTGCACTGATATTTGTGGTTTCTAGGAGAGATCAATTAATGCACAACATACTCAACCTGATTGCTGAATATTCAATTATCTAGACAGTGCCAGAACCAGCAGCTCCCCATTAGAAACTATCTCAAAACTAAAACTGACAGGAGCTGAAATCTATAATCGAAAAAAAATTAAAATAAGCTCTGGGGCAAATACTCACCACAGGTTGCTCTCTGTTGATAGGGAGTCTGATTCTCTCTTTCATGGTTACGGTGCATATTTCTCTTACGCCCTCTCCGCTTACCAGGACCTCGACCTCGTCTACGGGTTGCCACATGCCGTTTGGTCAAAGACGCACCTACAAATAAAACTTCTTTTCAAATAATTTTCAGTGCTAACATAGAAGGGCTATCCAAAATCATAAGATGCCTCATGCATACTGTACAAATGCTACCTCAAACTGGAATTACCCAATTCCATTTTCCGCTGTATCCTTTTAATACAAGGACATTAAAAAAATACGGCATTCAGTCCTTTGAGCTCATTCTGACATTCTATGAGATAATGGCCATTTTTCTCCTTGAAGGTCTTTTTCCTGCAAAACCTGATATCCCTTGATGTTTTTAATATGCAGAAAACTAAATGATTGCAGTTTTGAACATACTTGATGGCTGAGCCTGCACTGCCATCTCGGGCGGTGAATCCTAAATATTCACTAGATTCTAAGTGAAGAAATTGTCTTCCCCTTATTCAGGAACTACCTCTCCTGGTTCTCAATAAAACAGTGAGAGTAAACGTTCCTTCTGCATCTACCTTGTTAAGTCCTGTAAAAATTGTGCACCTCAAAAGATCAACTCTCATTTTTCTGAACTCCAACAAACATAGGCACAGTGTATTTAATATTTCCTTATTGGACAATCCCCCCAATGTTAGGAATTTGTTTGGTGAACCATAGTTGCTCTCAGCCTATGGCAAATACATCCTTGCTTAGGTAAGGAGATCAAACTGCACACAATACTCGAAGTGTGATCTCACCAGGCTCTACAATGTAGAGCTTTCAGTCATTTACTTGTACTCCTATACTTAAATCTTCTGCAGGCCAACTGGGGATGGACAGTAATAGAGTCCAGCCAGTGAAAAACACATCCTCTAAAGGAATCAACGTATCATTTACCTTAATTTTTTGATGTACCCAGATGTTAACTTTCAGTGTGTCATAAACAATGCAGCCTTTCACCACTGAAGAAATGTTTTACACTTCTGTCTTTCTTACTAAAGTGGATAAGCTCTCTTTCTCCACACTGTATTCCACCTGCCATTTTTGGGTCACAACCTCTCTAAATCTCCAGGGAGTGGCTTTTCATTCTCCTCAGAACTTATCTATTTTTGTGTTATCTGTAAACTTGAAATAGTGGTTAACATCATCAAAATTATTCTTATTGATTGTGGATAGTTGGGCCCAAGCACTGATCCTTGCTGTGACCCATTAGTCACAGCCTGCAACCTGAAAATAGCCCATTTATTATTGTCTTTTGCCTAATTAGCAGTTTTTAAATCCATGCCAGTACATTCCCCGATCTCATGTGCTCTAATTTCATTTACCAACTTCCTGTGTGTGATGTTAATGAAAACCTTCTCAAAATCCAGATATAACATTGCAAGCTACCCATTATCTATTCGGCTAGTTTCTGGAGGACACAACTGGCAGATTTGAGAAACGTGTTTTTTCCCCCAAATCCAAATACAAGATCACAGGTTTGTGCAAAGTACGTGGTATTTTTTCATTGCGCCCATGGCAGCACTTTCCAAGAACTATATCCATTCATCCCACCCCAGTCTTCACCCCTCCCTCCTCCCCATGACCATATAAAAATTTCCTTAGTTTCCTTTGAAAGTTATAGTTGAATAGACCAAATACCAAAGCTGGAGCAAAACCAGTGTTTTGTACAGGTTTAGAGATAGTAAGAACTTCTGATCCTGGAGTCAGAGATAACACAGTGTGGAGCTGGAGGAACACAGCAGGCCAGGCAGCATCACGAGGAGCAGGCAAGTTGATGTTTCAGGTCAGGACCCTTCTTCAGAGAGAAAAAAATCCCGACCTAAAACACCAGCTTTCCTGCGCCTTTTGTACAGATTTAGTCTGCCTTTGTTCTACAGATGTGATAAAACCAAGGAGCTGTTTTAGCAAAATTCTCAACTTATTCTGTTTTCTTCAAACATTTGCGAATGCACTCCCAGCTCCCAATTCCTGCTTCTCTTTTACAAACTGTACCATTTAGCTCATATTGCTTTTGCATACTCTTCCTACCAAATACCTACCATTGCACACATCTTTGCATTCTGGTTCCTTGACCATGTATTTGCCTATGCCCTCATAGCATTGGGGAATGCAGTAAAGAAGTCACTAATAATGTCACATCATCTGCAAATTTTGAAACTACATCCTGCATTGGAATACCATTAATAGAATACCATTAAGATACACTAAAATGAGCAGTTATCTGAATACCTGCAGACATCTCTGCTGTCGGAAAAAATCAGTTCACCACTACCTCCTGTTATTGTCCCTTCGCCTACTGCAGCCCCTTAAGATCTATGGGCATCATTTTGGTTTACAAATCTCTTCCCATTGTACTTCATCAATCCTTTTGAAAAACTATACTTACACCTTCCTTTCAGCAACTCTGTCCACCACTTTGAGGACTTACCAATTCTGTATGACTTTTCAGTTATTGACACATTAATCAGTGACGTCATCTCAGTTTTATCAGCACCACCAGAATTAGGCTGGCTGCAGCAGCAGACCGAGCGACTTTTCTACTTTCAATGCTGCTGTTCATTTAAGAATTCATTTTATCTAATTTTTCTTCTATATTTTTGTTAATTGCAAGTGCAGAATCATCTTTTAATGAAGTCTGATCAAGTAATTATTTAGCACACACTCAGCCTTGTCCTCTGCCTTCCCAAAAATCACCTCTTTGCTGCCATAATTGGTTCTACTCTAACCCTCTACCTGCCTTTTTACTATTTATAAGTTTGTTTTGTTCCTGCCTTTGGTTAGTCACTGACCCCACTCACTCATTTTGTGCTACTTCCTTTCAAAGCTCTTCCCCTTAGTTTTTATATTGACTTTGTTTGCCTCTTGGGATTCACTGCAAGCTTTTCTGTCCTGTCATTTTTACTACCATTTTTAATCAACTAGCATGCTTTTGCACTATATTTCCACTAGTCCCCATTGTGAGATCTGGTTAGTACCCGAAGGACTCACTGCTTGTTGATTGCTTTACTCACCAATCTTGAATTCCAGGTCACCTGAGCCAGACCAACTTACTGAAATTATCCCTCAAGCTGAATATTTAAATGCAATTATTTTTGTCCTGACTACACTTACTGCTTCCCACTGCCTTCCACATCAAAAAAGAAAGGTTTAATTTTCAGTCCAGCATCTGTTTGGGACTTCATTTCTCCTTTACTTTTAACATGAGCTTATCTTCATCTCTCACTCATCAAATAAAAATCAACAGGCAGCAGTTGTATTGTTGCTGCATTCATAACTGACACCCAGGCAATGTTCTAGGAAACCAGGTTCCTTGGAAATGGTGGGATTTGAATTCAGGAAGAATCTGGAAATCAAAGTCCAGTGATGACCACGAAAACATGGCAAACACAGCACTGTCAATCCTGGAACGTCCTCCTTACTAACATCTGGGCACTGGTGCCAAATCTCGGAGACCTGTCTTTCATATACGTCAAGCAACAGCCTGACAGTCACTCATGGAATCTCACACAGATGTTCTCGCACTGACGCTTCTACCACTTAGTGGCTTTGTTCCCTGAAATTAAGTCTAGGACTCTTGCCTCTTCTGGAATTTATACCTGCTGGCTTGAAATGCTCCCTAGGACGCATTTTCAGAATTCCACTTCCTCTACAAGCCTTTTGCACATTGCTCACCTCAGTTAATATTTCAGAAAACTAAATTCACAGCTATTACACTATTACTTTTACATTTCACTGAAATTTGCCGACATCTGTCCACCTATCCCTCTGATAGATGGCAATCTTATATGTACTAAAGACCCCAACAATGTAATTGCTCCCATTTTGTGTTTAATACAGATGTGATTGAGGATTCTTATTTCATCCCCCTTATTACAACCAATACATCTTCAAAATTGAGATACCACCACCTCTCATCAGAAGATTCCACATGTCAGAATATTGAGCTTCCAGTCCTGTCCCTTACACAGAGATTTGTCTTTTGTTCTAGATATTGTGTGGAATGTTGTCACATCAGCTGCGTGTGCAATGCAGGTGGCCCTGATGAGGCCGCAGTTCCAAGAATGGTGTCAGGTGGGTGAGACAGACAGTGGCTCGTGTTTGGGGGTTGGCGGGTGTGGGGGGAGGTTGTTGACAGGACTGAGAACATTCCCTCTGTTTCAGTGAATAACTATGGGCTGGATCAATACACTATCTTTGCGGTTCAAAGGCTTGACCATGACATAGCAAAATCAAGTGGAGTTGCTGTACCTGTGTGCTCCTTGCACCACCTAGAGGTGATCTATATGGAATAGCTGGAAGAAAAAGACAAAGACAGTCTGAAGATTACCTGGCTCCCAACCGCTCCGTGTTGAGACAGCATGCTCAGAATTTAAACAGCTTTCCACCTGCTCTCCAATTTTTGACATAGGACCTTCATAAGTACACCTCTCAGGAGACACTGGAAGAGTATGAAGAAAACAAACTGAATTAGGAAAAACATATTTCTGCAGTATCCAGAAATGAAAAACAACCTTAATTCTAAAATTCAAGTTCCACAAAGCAACTGGCAGATCTCCACGCTACCGCTCCTAGCGGACAGTGCTGAGATCTGGAAGTAGGAAAACAAATGCAGATTTGAAAATGCTCTTTATGAGACATCAAATAATGCATGATCTTTTCAGGTGGATTCTGAAGAAGTTTCTTGAGGAAGCATTTAAAAAATGTTCCAAATCACGGGAATAGCAAGAACTGCAGATGCTGGAGTCAGAGATAACAAAGTGTGGAGCTGGAACACAGTAGGCCAGGCAGCATCACAGGAACAGGAAAGCTGACATTTCCGATTAGGACCCATCTTCAGAAAATTTCTCTGAAGAAGGGTCCCAAACCGAAACGTCGGCTTTCCTGTTCTTGTGATGCTGCCTGGCCTGCTGCATTTCTCCAGCTCCACACTTTGTTATCTAAAAATGTTCCAGTAACTTAATATGACCACAAAACATATACAACTTAAAATTTGTGTGTCTTTCCTGTAGCCCTGAAATGGTGCCATATGATCAACAGCTCTACAAGCCAGCATTTATTATCCATACAAAGGTTCCTTCCTGCATGCCCTCATTTCCCTTATCTTTATCATGCTCACATACTTCAACACTTGCCACGCTCTGTCCTATCTGCTTTAGCCATTCTACTCCTGGACTCACCCAGTTCTCATTCATTATCAAACACCTCCAAATAGAGTTCGAGTTTCTGATACCTGTTGCAGGCTTTTAATAAGACCACAAGAAATAACAAAAGTAGACCTTTTGACCCCTTGAGCTTGCACCACCATTCAAAAGTACCATGGCATCTGTTTCCATCAAATAAGCAAAGTTATAGAACAAAATCTTAAAATTCAGTCAATAATCACGAACAAAGTGAAACTCGTTTTCTTAAAAAAAAAAATCACTTTCCTAACTCAATAGCTGTTCAATTTGAGAAGTTAAATCATTCATTTGAGTGAAACAGGACTGGTGAGAATAAACAGTTCAGTTGTCTCAGCTTTAGATTCTTGATCAGCAGAGCAATCAATCTCAGCATTAAACACAAGGAACCTGTCCCCACAGTTTTCTGTGGCAAAGTATTCCAAAGACACTCAACCCTCAGAAGAAATTCCCCCTCATCCAGACTAAAATTGGCATTTTTTTTTGAGACTATGCCCTCTGGTCCTAGTTGAGGGGAAACATCCTCTCAGCCTTTACCCCATCAAACCCCTCAAGAATTCTATATATGGGATCACCTGTCATTCTTCTAAACTCTCGTGAGTACAATCCCAACCTGTTTAGCTTTTTCTCATAAGACAATCCTCTCTGCAGCCCCCCACCCCCATACCAGAAATCATCCTAGTGAACTTATTTTGATATGCCAACAAAATGATATCTTTCCTTAAATAAGGTCATGTGGCATTCAGACATTGGCTGCTTCGGTATCCAAGGAGTCATGAACAGTGCTTACCGTACAGTCATCTAAACTTCTGAATTTATGATGGAGGGGAAGTCACTGATGAATCAGCTGAAGATAGTTGGGCTTAGGACACTAATTTGAGGAATTGGACCCCTGTAGTGCACTGGTAGCGTCACTAACTAAGTTACAGGAGGCTGAGTTCAAGTCTCATCTGTTCTGGAAGCGTGTAATGGTATGGACCGGGCCAGAACCAGAACCAACCACCCTTCCCCCACCCCAAGTCTATTATGGAGATAGCCTAGACCCTAACTTTTATACACTTTTTGAAAGACAAGTGTAGGTGCTGCACTCCAAATATGATTCAATTGGCCACCATTCAGCATTCATTAAAACATACTTTACTCTTAGAACACCGTTAAAATACAAGAAGAATTAGCATAACTTTATTTTACTTGAAATACTTAAGATAATACAGTGGCTCAGTGGTTTGCACCGTTGCCTCAACGCCAGGAACCCAGGTTCAATTCTATCCTTGGGTGACTGTGTCAAGTTTGCACATTCTCCCCATGTCTGTGTGGGGTTCTGCTGGGTGCTCCAGTTTCCTCCCACAGTCCAAAAATGTGCAAGTGAGGCAGATTGGCCATGCTAAATTGCCCCAAGTGGTCAGGGATGTGTAGGTTAGTTGCATTAGCCATGGAAAATGCAGGGTTACAGGGAAAGGGTAGGCACATGGGTCTGGGTGGGATACTCTTCAAAAGGGTTAGTGTAGACTTGTTGGGCCAAATGGTGTTTCCAGACTGTAGGGATTCTATTCTATTATTTAATCACCGATCATCAACTGTTCCAATATAGACAACAACCATAACTACACCCTTGGCAAAGGAATTCAGCAAGTTATTATTCTCATGCGCTGTCTCTCTCTAGTCCAGTAGAAAGAAACACAGAAAATCTGACACTTTTGATTTTTTTTCTCTAGAGGAGAAAAGGCTACAACTTCATTCTAGCAGAGAACTCACGTTTTCTCCAGCAGCCAGCTAAAAACCCACTGAATTAAAAGCAAAACTAAAGTACTTTTGGTGAACCTGGCCATGCCCACTCAATTCCTTTGTCTTACTTTTTAAAAAATCCAGGGAGAACTCAAAGTTGTTTACCATCTGCCTGTCTGAAGGAGACATTTCAGCACCCTATGACAACACTCCTCCGCAAGAGGAACAGCACACAACACACCTCAAAGGCACAGTAAGGTCATAGTAATAACATCACTGAACAAGTTGCTTAGAAAATACCTAAACTGAAGAATTCCTGCAGAAATGTCCTGGAATTGACAGGTCTGACTTCCACCACAATCATCTTCCTTGTGCTAGGTTTTGACACCAAACAGCAATTTTCCCTGGATTCACAGTGATTCAAGTTTTACAAGAGCTCCTTAACGCCAAGGGCAGTCACTCAACTCTGGAACTCCGTTCTTTTGTCCATGTTTGAATCAAGGTTGTAATGAGTTCAAGAGATGAGTGGCTCTGGCAGAACCAAAGCTAAGTGCTGCTGATCATGCTGCACAATAGCACTGTTGTTGACACCTCCTATCACTATAATGGTGTTCAAAAGTAGACTGATGACATGATAATTGACCAGGTTATCTATCCTGGATTGTGTGCGCAGGACGTACCTGAGCATTTTTCCACATTGTTGAATGAATGTCAGTGTGGCAGCTGTACTGAAACAGCTTGGCAAGTTCTGCAGCATGAGTCTTCAAGACTACAGCAAGAACGTTATCAGAGCCCATTGCACAGGCATTATTTAGTGCCTCCAACCCTTCACTGATGACCTCAAACACAGAAAACAGGAGGCCATTTGGTCCTTTACACCGGCTTTGCCATTCATAATCATCATCCAATTCAATACTTGTTCCCATTTCCACAGCTCCCCACATATCCTTTGATCCCTTTAGCCTCAAGTGCTATATCTAACTCCTCTTGAAATCATATAACGTTTGACCTCAATACTTTGTGCTAGAAAATTCTACACACACACACACACACACACACACACACACACCTGGGCGATGACATTTAGAGTTATACAGCACACGAACAGTACCTTCAGTCCAACTCGTCCACGCCAACTAGATATCCTAAATTAACTAGTCCCATTTGCCAGCATTCGGCCCATACTGCTCTAAACCGTTCCTACTGATAATAGCCATCCAGATGCCTTTAAATGTTGTAATTGTACAGCCTTCACCACTTCCTCTGGCAGCTCATTCCATACACGCACCACTCTTTTTGAGAAAAGTTGCCTCTTAGTTTCTTTTAAATCCTTCCCCTCTCACCTTAAACCCATGCCGTCTAGTTTTAGACTCCCCTATCCATGGAACAGACCTTGGCTATTCACCTTATCCATGCCCCTCATGATTTTTTAAACTCCAAAAGGTCACCCCTCAGCCTCCAATGCTCCAGGGAAAACACCCCACCCTATTCAGCCTATCCCTATAGCTCAAACCCTCGAATCCTGGCAACATTCTTGTAAATCTTTTCTGAACCCTTTCAAGTTTTACAACATCCTTCCTATAGCAAGGAGACCAGAAGTGCACACAGTATTCCAAAAGTGGCCTAACCAATGTCCTGTACAGCTGCAACATGACCCTCCCAACTCCTTTACTCAATGCACTGACCAATAAAGGCAAGCATACCAAACACCTTCTTCACCGCCCTGTCTACCTGCGACTCCACTTTAAAGGAACTATGAACCTGCACTCCAAGGTCTCTTTGTTCAGCAACACTTGCCAGGGCCTTATCATTAAGTGCATAAGACCAGCCTTGATTTGTCTTTCCAAAATGCAGCTATATCTAACTCCTCCTGAAATCATATAATGTTTGCCCTCACTGCTTTGTGCTAGAAAATTCTACACACACACATCACTCTCTGGGTGATGACATTTAGAGTTATACAGCACACTCTCATTCTTCTGAATTCTGTTAAATGGAATCTTAACCAATGCAATGACTCCTGGTAGGAGGAGAAGGTCTGTTAAACTTTCCCTGCATTCCCTCTAGAGCAAGAGCATCCCTTCTCAGAGACCAAAACTGCACACAAAAGTCTAGCTATGGTCTCACCAAGAGTCTGTACAATTACAGGAAACATCCCTACTCCTGTACTCAAAACCTCTAGCTAGCAATATCAACATACCATCTGCCTTCTTGACTGACGTTGCACTTGCATGCTTACGTTCTGTTTTACAAGGACACCCAAACCTCGCTGCACATTCACATCTCAATTTATAGCCAGATATCATCTGCCTTTCTGTTTTCGCTCCCAAAATGGATAACCACACATTTATTCTAATTAGCATGCGTCATGCATTTGCGCACTCAGCTTTCCCAAATCACACTGAAACATCTCTGCACCATCCTATCCTCACAGCTCACCCTCCCATCCAGCTTTACATCATCTGCAAATCTGGAGTTATTACATTCAGTTCCCTCATTAAAATCATTAATATAATTTGACAATAGCTGGGGTCCTAGTGCAGACACCTGCAGTACCCCACTAGTCACTGTCTGCCAATTGGCAAGAGACCCATTTATTCCTAACCTTTCATTCCTATCTGCCAACCAGCTCTGTCAATTTGAATACATAGCCCCAAATTCCATGTACTTTTATTTCACCTGCTAATCCCTTATGTGGGACTGTGTTGAAAGCCTTCTAAAAGTCTAAAAACACACCATCCACTGGCTCAGAGTCAAATCTATGACAGATTCCCGTAGATTTGTCAAACTTGACTTCCCTTTTGTAAATGTGTGTTAACTCTATCCAATACTGCCACAGTTTTTTCAAACGCTATTTAATCTTTCTTAATGGACTAAAATATGCAACTAAATTCACCAGATTTGACATACCCATTATAACCAAATATGGACTTTTGTTAATCAGCTAAGTCTCCCGCTAAACCTCAACTAATCTGTCCCTGATGTCAAATTGTAGAAATTACTTTCTCTTCCACTCCTGTCTCATAAGAACTGAGTAACATCTGCAGTTTTTCAAGCCATAATTAAATTACGAGCACTTTCCCCAAGTTTGTTTTTGGCTGGCGGTGTAAAGAAAGTGGTTCTGGAGACTGATTGGTCTGAAGTACCATTTTCTAAAAACATACACTAAGTTCCTTCTCCAAGTTCCTGAATTTTAAGGTGACCTTGTACTGCTACTATTTTCTCTCCCTCTACCATAAAGACGGATACAAAGTACTTATTTAACAAGTATGTAATTTCCTGATTGTTAATCAAAGTTCCTCCCTGGAGATGGTGCTTTTTTTTTTGTTTGGCTCCTTACCAACAGTAGATGGTGTGACGTATTCCTTATGCTCTTTCAAATAAGGCAAGTGCATATGAAAATATTGCTGACAGTTCCTTAACCTTGTCAAATGAACAGTAATGTTTTGCTACTGTGGTGATTCATCATCTTTTTAAACATTAAACACTTTAGCGTTACAGGTACTCAGTGGCTCCTTTAAGTATTTTCTGTTTCTCCTTCTGATCAAGTTACCAAGTACTCGGAATTGATTTGCAGTTCTTCACTTTCTTTGCATTTGTGTTCTCTAATTTGTCAGACATAAATTTGTTATTTTGCATGCAAAATCTTAATAAATCAGATTGAAGTTGGATAAAGTACCATGCAGGAACTATGGAATAAAGCAAACCAACCAATAGTTATTGCATCCAGGATCGGGGACGATATTCAACCATACACAAAAGAACGGAAGGAGACTGTCCCAATGGCTTCATTTCGAACATTGCTTTCAACTATCGCTTTATCATAGGTGCAGCAGGTCCAAACCCTACTAAAACATGTTTAAACTTCCAGCCACTTGATAGGAATTACAATCCTAACAGACTTTAAAAAACCAAAACACTTTTCAGTTTTTCTGTCTTGCTTCCTGACAGCCTTTTTAAAAAAAAAAAGTTCTAGTATCCATTTTTCTAATGGTGACCATCCACATGCATTTTATAGTCTATGTGGTGGTGCTGCGTTGTTAGCTCCCTAGCTGGAAAGGAGTGTGAATACTGCATTCACTTCAATTTTCCAATTCCATAATGAGGCAAACTTGGAGCACTGAACAGGAATTATGACAGTGCATTCAAGGTTTGGCAATTTGAAACAAGACTGAACATGCAGTACATAAAGCACCCCATGATTAGTCTGTACTGTATAAGTGTCTGCAATCTTTAAACAAATCAACTGACCAAATTAGGCAAAAATAAGCAAATGTTGTCTGTGAATGACAATTCTATCATGAAACTTGAATTTGAAATTAAAATGTTATTTTGAGGGCATGATGCTTTACAGGAAGCAGAGAAGGCCAAAGCCCCGTTAGTCTTAGCCACCATCCAATGATGGGGAGGTGCCAGTGTTGGACTGGGATGGACAAAGTCAGAAGTCACACAAAACCAGGTTATAGTCCAACAGGTTTATTTGGAATCACAAGTTTTGGGAGCACAACCCCTTTGACAGATGCAGAGAGAGAACAGGGCACACAGATAGAGGTCGATCTCTCTCCTTATAAACTCTGTCTGCGTGCCCTGCTCTCTCACTGCACCTGATGAAGGGGCTGCGCTCCCAAAGCTTGTGATTCCAAATAAACCTGTTAGACAATAACCTGATGTCGTGACTTCTGACTTCGTCCATCCAATGACACTGTAACGGAAAATGTGTCTTGCCAGGGAGAGGTGGTGAAGCTGGAAGACCAGGGTTTAAAGGGGAAAGCTTGCAGTGGGAGAAGGGGATGGGACACAGTTACTATCGTAGTACTGATTGGTGTGAGGCTGTCTCCTCCCTGTGTTGTGGTTCCTCAGGTGATGAAATACACACACCACAGACTAGTCCTGCACTGTACAGGATTATACCGTCATCGTGGAAAACAAATTAAGTGATTGCGTCTTTCAGTCCAATGTTCCTCTGCTCAGTAAGATCAAAGATGACAGTGTTGTTTCAAATACCATTTTCCATATACTTCCAAACAACCTTGATTCACCATCTAATGGAATCTATTCACTTAAGAGTTGTACAAAATCACCCAGCCCTCAAATTATTTCTCCTCACCTTTACCCGGTCTTTACTGGTTCACATCCTGAAGACCTCAAGGTCAGCTCCCTAACCTTCTCAATTCGAGAGAATAAAGTCCTAATTTGTCTGACTTCTCCTCATAACAACCTCTGAAGTCCAGGTATCTTTCTTGTAAACCTGCACTGAACTCCCAAGGCCAAAACATCCTTCCTAAGGTGTGGCGCCCAGATCTGCTCAAAGTACTGAGTGGGGTCTCACGAGAGTTTTGTTTAACTGCAGCATAATTGCTGCATCTTTATACTCCAGTTCTCTAGATATAAAAGGCCAGTATTCCATTAACCTGCAAGTACTGATCTGCCCTTTATTTTGGTCCAAAACCGATAATCTCACACTGTCTTAAATTAAAATCCATCTGCCACAGCTTTACCTATTCACCTAATCTATCCATATCCTGTTGTAATTTTATGCTGTTGTCAACAGTCTAGAATGTTGCCCAATTCAGCATTGTCAGCAAATGACTTTTTATGCCATTATCTAAGTTTTTAATGAATATTCAATAATTGAGGCTGCAACACACCCCGTGGGACACTGAGTCACATCCTGCCAATTTGAGTATTTATCCATTATTCCAATGCTGTTTCTTGCAGCTCAATCAATTTCCTATCCGTTGGCTTCCACCTTAGCTAAAGGTCTGTGTGGAACTTTATTAAGCGCCTTCTGGAAGTTCTGATAAACAACACCCATCAACTTACCTCTCTCTGCCATCTTTGTCACTTCTTCAAAAAAACTAAAGTTTGTCAGGCATGAACTACCCTTCAGGAATCCATGCTGAGTCTCCCCGATCACTTCAAAATTTCAGTTAATCAGTTACCCTATTCTTGATTGTTGACTCCAACAATTTCCCCACCACAGATGTTAGACTAATTGGTCTGTAGTCTGTTGGATTCCCTCTGTCACCCTACTTTAAGTGCGGAGTGACATGAGCAAATTTCCGACCCTAAGGTACAACACCTGAATTCAGGAAACTCTGAAAGATTAAAGGTTAGGGCAACACACTCTCCTACCTCCTTTAACATCCAGGAATGTAGTCCTGTGGGTTTTAACTTTTCCTGCTGAAGTGAACAATTTGACATTTTCCGACAGTGTCTCTTTTCCATTTGATTTTTATCATAGTAAAATATACAATGCCCTTTCTGCATCATTTACTACATCTGCATAGCAAATCACTTCATCCGGCCAAACCGGATTTGGGATTATGTCAAAAGGTGTGGGGTTGGGGACAGGATTTGCAAGGGGTTAGGAGAACCTACATCCATGCCAGACACCCTAGAAGGGGGCCCCCACCAAACAATAAATAAAACAAAAAGAAATAAAACAAAATCAGAGTTAACGTTTCAGGTTCTGAGGAAAGGTCACAGGACCCAAAAGGTTAACTCTTGACTTTTTTCTTCACAGATGGTGCCAGACCTGCTGAGCTTTTCCAGCAACTTCTGTTTTTGTTCCCACCAGAAGTTATCCTAAAAAGACGTCCTTACCTCCTTCCACATCCTATGCCTCACCGAGGAGGGACCTCCTCCACTCAATCCTGAAATCTGGCCGAAGAAAGAAACCGCTCCCCTCAGACTCTCCCAAACGAACAGGTGTTGACCTCCCCCTCTCCACTCAAACACCAACTCTGGAGGAGAATGAAAGAGACACCCCTCCATTGCCTGAGATAACAAGGTGTAAAGCTGGATGAACACAGCAGGCCAAGCAGCATCAGAGGAGCAGGAAAGCTGACGTTTCGGGTCTAGACCCTTCAGAAAATTCAGAAGGAGGGTCTAGGCCCGAAACGTCAGATTTCCCGCTCCTCTGCTGCTTGGCCTGCTACGTTCATCCAGCTCTACACCTTGTTATCTCGGATTCTCCAGCATCTGCATTTCCTACCATCTCCTCCATTGCCTGGCCGCCCACACCTAGCCACTGGATCCCCGGGCCTCTCCTACCTGCTGTGCCCCTACTGCGGCCCACGTAGGGCAGCAGGTCGTGGCGGCTGATGACCCTGAGGAGCTGCAGCAGGTGCCGGAAGTTGGTCTCGTCACACAGGCCCCGCCGCTCTAGCTCGAACAGTAGGCGGACGCCGCTACTGCGGCAGCTGGGCTCGTCCCAGGCCGAGGCCGGGGCGCGGGGGCCGAGGATGGCATCGCCCTCGGCAGCCTCCTCCATCTTCTCCTCCTCTTCTTCCTCCCCACCGGCCCGTAGCGCCCGGTCCAGCGGGTAGGCCTCGGCCAGAAGGAATGAGAGCACCTCGACGTCGGCCCGGCTGAGCTGCGAGCCCACCAGCTCGAACATCTGGTGCAGGGACAGCATGCGGTAGGAAGCCAGCGTCTCCTCTTCCTGCCAGCGAGCCCGCTTCAACGACCCCGTTGCCGCCATCACAACCCCGGGCTGTGGAAAAGGAGAAGGCCGAGGCCTGAGGCCTAAACCGGAGAAGGAACGCGACGAACTCAAAAACAAACACGGACAACGGGGAGGGTGGGGGAAGACAAAACCAAACAGAGAACTCGCTAAATAATCCCGATATCCTTCCAGCCGTAGATAAATGAAAAGTAAAAGAAAACAGCGTCAACCGCACTGCGCTCGCTCGACGACGACGATGTTGTTGTTGTTGTTTTCCTCTTTCTGGCACTTTCCGCGGCTCGCGCCTGCGCCAACTGCCCCTGCCGTCATTCCCTTCACCGCCCCACCCCTCGCGCGTGCGCTGCTCAGTCGGCGCGAGGGGCTCTCTGTGAGGTCACTGCATCTGTGACGTCACTCCCTCCAAACCTACACCGTTCAAAATTCAAAACCCAGAACCGTTATTTCCGTTAGGGACCGTTAGACTTTCAGAGGGAATCGGGGAGGGGGGGAGACGGGGTGTGAATGGGGGAGTGAATGGAGGGGGCGTTAAGGGGAGAGATTGGAGGGGGGCGAAGGGGAGAAATTGGGGGGGGCATTAAGCGGAGAGATTGGAGGGATGTTAAAGCGAGAGAATGGAAGGGGGCGTTAAGGGGAGAGATTAGTGGTTCTGGGAGTTTGATGAGGGAGAATGGAGGTTAAGGATAGTGTGTGATGAGGGTGAATGGAGGAAGAGAATGGGATGAATGGGATGAATTGGGGGAGAAAATGGAGGGGGTGTTCAGAGGGGAGATTGGAGAGGGCGTGTTAAGGGGAGAGAATGGAGGTTGAGGGTAGAGTGTGATGAGGGTGAATTGAGGAAGACAATGGGATGAATTGGGGGCAGGTGTAGAGAAATGTGGGTGGAAGAAGAGAATGAGGTGGGAACAAACTTTTGTGTGGGATGTTGAGGGGAGAGAATGGTTGCGGAAGGATTGAACGGAGGGGCCGAACGAAAGGTATGTTGGGGGGGGGTGGGGAAAGTTGCTGGGTGAGGGGATGGAGAAAGCTGGAGCGGGGGAGGGAATGGGAGTATTTGGGGAAGAGAATATTGGTGTGAGGAGAGGGAATGGGTGGGGAAGGTGTTGAATGAAAAGGGTGGTGGGGGAGAATGGGGATTGTGGAGAGTTGGAGCGGGAGGAGAATTGGAGGGATGCTGGGAAAAGTGGGAGAAAGGATGGTGGGTGAAGATGTAGAATGTTGTGAGGTTGAATCAGAGCTAGGGGATGGTCTAATGAGGAGAGGGGAATATAGGAGAGGGCAGGAATAATAGAGAGGAAATGGGAAAGGGAAAAGTTAATGGGAGAGAGAGTTGGGGAATAGAGAGGTAATGATGGGGAGAGATGAGTGATATAGAGTGAGAGAGAGTAGGAATGGGTCAGGGAAGGGAGGGTGGTGATAGGGGAGGACAATGTGACGTATTGCATTTTGGTAAGGCAAACCAGGGCAAAACACACACAGTTAATGGCAGGGCCTTTGGGAGTGTTGCTGAAGAAAGAAATCAAGGGGTGCAGGTGCATTGTTCCTTGAAAGTGGACTCGCAGGTAAACAGGGTGGTAAAGAAGGCATTTGGCATACTTGCCTACGTTTGTCAGTACATTGACTGTAGGAGTTGGGAGGTCATGTTGCATCTATACAGCACATTGATGAGTTAGAGTTGCAACATGAACTCCCAACTCCTATACCAAATGCACTGATCAATAAAGGCAAGTGTACTAAATGCCGCTTTCTCTACCCTGTCTACCTGCGACTGCACCATCAAGGAACTATGAACTTGCAGTGCAAGGTCTCTTTGTTCGGCAGCATTTCTCATACCTTGCCATTAAGTGTGTAAGTCCTGCCATGATCTCCCTACCAAAATTCCCTATCTAAATTAAACTCCATATGCCACTCTTTGGCCCATCCAATCAAGGTCCCATTGTGCTCAGAGGTGACCTCCTTTGCTGTCCACCACACCACTAATTTTGGAGCCATCTGCACCTCTTTCTCTTCCACTGCCTTCTGAAGGGACCATTCCTTTTGTGACTCCCTGGTCCACCCTAGTCACTCAAATTCTTTGTCCTCATGGTAGCTTTCAATGCGATTGCAGGAGGTGTGACACCTGCCCTTTTACCTCCTCCCTTTCTCTGTTCTCAATCTCCAAACATTCCTTCCAGGGTGAGGCAGTGATTTACTTGTACCTCCTTCAATCTAGTCTACTGTAGTCATTGTTCACAGTGTGCTTTCTTTTACACTGGGGAGAGCAGATGCAGACTTAGTAACCACTTTGTGGTACACCTCAGTGCAGTCTGCAAACATGGTCCTGAAATTCTGGTGGCCTGTCATTTGAATTCTCTGACTTGCTCTGGTGCTGACATCTCTGTCCTCAACCTGCTGCACTGTTCCTGTGACTAAATACTTCCAACCTTTGAAACTCAACTTTCAGTTCAATGATTTCAGGCTACAATTGCTGATCAACTTTTTTTGGCTATATTTAACTTTCAGAAAGTAGCATATCTGTTTTGTTTTCATTCCCCGTCGCCATTTCTTTTGAGCCATGAAGACTCACTCTTCTATTGTTTGATCAATTGGACATCCGCTCTTTTACAGACTCACCCTTACTCAAAACTGATTGTAGTTCTCTAACCTTTCTCAATTCTGATGAAAAGACACAGCTGTTATGATCCTGGACCAGATTGCCAAGTTTATGTACATTCTGGCTAGGAACCAGTATGTTATCTTTTTAAAGTAAACAAAGTGTGAGGTCCTGTGTCCTTGCTAAGAGAACAAGGCCATAAGATTCCACGGTTTTGGACAAACGGCAATAAACTTTACAAAGGTAGAATGGTAATAAAATCTTATGATATGTATAAATAACTCATAGTCCAGCATCCAGAATTAACCTGAAGTAAGTATGGGTAACAAACAAATAATGGTCGAACTTCCCAAGGAGCATGTCAAATAGTAAAAGAAATCAAACAGGTCCCTGTGGATCACAAAATTTCATTAAAATTTCAAAAAGGATTCTGCTTCTTTCAACTACCTGGTCCTGAAACTCCTCAAAAGCCACCCATCATGACAAACTCAACAACTGCTCATGGTCCTGTGGTTGCACTCCAGCACTTACTCAAAGCTAAAATTCCCAACTCTATGCAAACAGTTAGGTTCACCAAGCTGGTACTGTCACTGTGTTTGTTTACCCATCTCTTGTGTGACTCAATTGGACAAACCAAATGCTGCCTGTGGATTTCAACCACACTTTCTGCTGCACTGAACTATGAGTGGCACACAGCTTCTTCTGATTTTCACTGTTCCCAGGACTGCTCTGACTGCACAGTCTGTTCAACTACCCTGGGAATTCCCTGAGCCATGGTTCTATAGAACCAATGTAGTTAAATGGTGCTTAGGCTTCATTTGAGGCTTTCGTAACTTTTAGGCCTTCCTGAACTCTCTCTACGCTGAGCTATTCAACTACTCTAGGAAATCCCTGAGTCCCAACTACACAACCCATATAGTTCTGTAGCCTTTGGCAGCACAGCTAACAGCAGTGCTGCTTAACCTGGAGTTTACTTCACTCTCACATATGCTCACTTCTACTCTCAATGCCTGTCACCTTTGAACTCCCCTTCAGTATATGACAATACGATGGATTTATGATTATAAGAGCAGGGAGGTGATGCTGGAGCTGTTTAGAACTTCGGTTAGGCTGCAGCTGGAGTACTGTGTGCAGTTCTGGTCACCGTGCTATAGGGAGATGTGACTGCAATTGAGGGGATTCAGTGGACATTCACCAGGACGTTGCCTCAGATGGAGCATTTCAGTGACAAACAGAGACTGGATAAGCTCAGGTTGTTTTGGGAGCAGAGAAGATTGAGGAGGGACAGTGTAATAGAAAGCAGCAGCTACCGCCAGTTGAAGGGTCAATAATAAGCAGGCATAATTTTAACTCAAAGGGCAAGAGGTTTAGAGGGGATTTGAGGAAGATTATTTTCACCCAGGAGGGTTTTGTAGCTGTGAAATGCACTGTTTGTGAGGGTAGTTCGGGTGGGATCTTTAGAAAGTACTTGGATGAGCACTTGAAGTGTCATAACATTCAAGGCCTAGAACGGGAAGGTGGGACCTGTGTAGATTTAGTGCAGTTTGGTGGTACAGATATGATGAGCCAAAGGACCTCGTCTGAACTGTATGAGTATGTATAGGAAGACTGTGAGAGACCATCATTTCTTTTATTTTTGATTGTTTGGGCTATGAATTGAAATTGAGGAAAATGGATACTCTTTTAAAAGGGGAAATAAACAGGAATGTCAGGGCTTGTGCTTATTCTGAGATAGTTGGGTCAGTGTCATGTACTATGTATGTGTATATTAAGAGTGACTTGGTGACAGGATACTGGCCTCTGTGGAGTTATTTCAATGACGTGTGTGTTCAGGTCAACCCTGCTCAGAAACCGTTTTCAATTGGCACCAGTTGGCGTGGATTCAGGAGAGTTCAAAATAGCAACGAGGCTCTGATTGTTCAGGTTGTAACTCACCGATGCGAAGGAATCAAAGGGAGACCTGGAGCGTGCTTCATCAGTCTTTCTCCCTCAACCTTTTCTCTGACAGTTGCTCCTTTGAACTTCCTGTCGTCAGTAGAAAAAGGTACATTCAGAAATGCTGAAAGGAATAATTCTAAAATTTGAAGACACCAATGACCCTGGGTCCAACTAATGAAACAGCTAATGGATAGAGAGAGTGATTATCGATGTGCGGATTGTGGAACCAGCCCACCTGGTTTTGTGATTTTGGACTGGTAACATAGAACTGTGTGCCTTTTGCTTTCTGTGTGCTTTCTGCGGAGAGTGGGAAGCAAGTCGTCCTGTTACATCTCTCTCTGAAGTTTCCCTGACACTTTACAGGTGTGACAGTCTGTGGGTGCAACACAGGACTTTCCCAGACTGTACCTGAATTAGCATTATCTACAGCAGTCTTCTTAAATCTTGGAATTAAATGTTAGAAAAAAAGTCTTTAGTGCTTCAGAATTCTGATCAAGAATCCAACTCAGAATACCTTCTCCAGGGCAATTAGGGGTTGGAACTGCCCAATGGGGAAATGAGCATTAAAAAGTTGTGTTTTCTATTTTTATTTCAGGTATCCGATATATGCAGTATTTTGCTTTTTGATTACCGGATAGAGACAGTGTGACGGCGGGGTGGGGGGGGGTTTTGTGGTGGTGGGACAGAGAGAGAGGGTGACAAGAGACACACAGAGAGTGTAACAGAGAGAGAGGGAGCAACAGAGAGGGAGAGAGAGGGCTGGAGGAAGGTATATAGT